CGTTAAAAGCGGCGTTTAATTGGATAACAAAAATAATTGAGATCGACACACATACAGATAAATTCAGAGTGGATTTGAGTTAGCGTGATCCATGGCGTGATTGTCATAATTATAACATCATATAAAACTTTACTTGGTGGAAACACATTGACCAAGCCCGGATTCATATTTCATAAATTATTACGTAGATCAAGCTGCAAGCATGAAGGTAAAAAAAGAACAGAGGTATGAATTCGACATTCAACACCAATCACCAAACAATTCAGAAACTTTTAGCCTTCGAAAATGAAAACAATTAGCAGTGTGTAAGGCTGTGTAATTTCCTGTTTGTCCAACGCTTCATTTTCGTGTCACTGTCAAAATTATTGCTACCTTTTACTTAACAGGGACTAAATGGTCTCTATAAAACGATAATCAGAATCGCAAAAAAGTCAACTCATTTGAAACACTTGCCGGGCGTCTCTCTCTCTCTTCTGAAATCCGCCTCGGTGATCATAGGCTGGTCCGTAATCTATTTCTTTCAAAAGTGTTGCGCCAGGTTTAAGTTGTCGGCGTTTTTCTTTAAACCTAGTTGTTTTTTCATGGACGAGGACAGTTTTTCCAACAACAAAAAAGAATCTGAGGTTTAGTGGCTTTCGTCCACTGATGTCACACCTTCGGATCGATTAGAAACGTGTGAATACTTACACTATGACTATACGTTTCACTGCAACTGCCCACAACACAACATCTAAAAACTCCCTCTCAAAAAAAATAAAATAGACAAAAAAAAAGAAAAAACGCCGACCGAAAAATGTATATCGTTTAAAAGTATACTGAATGACCAGTGTTATTATGGCTCAGGGGTATGACTTCCTCTCACATTTTGTCATTTGGTGGCGCACTTTCGGCGAGAGCCGGAAATCCAGAAACAGTCGACCGTTTCAGGATAGGTGGGCGTGGCTACAACACGAGAAATATCCCAAATTTACTTGGATACAAGTAATCATTTTCAGCAAAAAAATCTGCCCATTTCAGTGGGACACAGATCTAAAATGGGCATTGCACAGGCACTTTAACAACCACTCCCTCATTGAACCCAAAACCTAAACAAGTGTGTATGCCTATGCACTCAGCTCCATTGTGAGTGTTTTTAGAAGATTTGTTCATGAACTTCACTGGCAGCAAAGATTATACATCCTAGATTCTACTTTGAATCTGTTCATTTCACAAATCACTAGGCAGGGGCATTATTTGGTTACATACGTCTTGAAATCACTTAATATTTAATGTACATAAGGCTCTAGTATTATAAGTTGCACTTTGGAGTACCGGTACTTTTCTACTTGATTATCCAACCAATCATAGCAACCAATCATTATCCAACAATTATCCCTTGTTTCGCGAACCCGCCGAATGAACAGGAGCCGAAAATGAAATAAAAATAAAATTTTATTTCAGCGTAATTTCTCGCGCCCGCCGACTTGTAAGTGCAAAAAATTGCTAAAAAAAACTTATTTTTATCTTCATTTTTTTTCGCCTGCCGCATAACAAACCCAAGTTGCATTTTCGTGGGAGTATCATGATCAAAGTACCGAAGTCTTGCGCAGATGAGAAACAAGGTTATACATGGAATAAAATTTTATTTCATTTCTTCTCTTTGATCAATGATCTCACTTACAATTCTTTGAGAATCACACAAATCTAATGGAAAAAAAGAATTAATTTTATTTTTTTTCTGCCCTCTTCAAAAAAATTGCCTTATAAAAACTCGAGAAACAAGGAATAAAAAAAGTCTGGCCTTAATTTGCATAATTTTATGCAGTTTGTGCCACCTGATTGGTTCTTCATCGAATTGTTCATTGTCTAATGTAGAAATGTCCAAAACATATCTACATTAGACTTCAATTGAATTCACTTTAATAATGTAACTTTTTTTTGAGTACCGGTAGTGCATACTAGTATACATTTAATTAAGTGTTATTTTTGTTATTTTAATTTCCCATTCTGTTTATTTACTTCTTGTCATGCATTCATTAATGATAACACTTAATTTATGCAAATTAGAGATTAATAAATCTCTCATATTTGATGATAGTTTTATTTCATGTCTTGCAGTGTTGATGACCGCAAACTTTCAAATTAAACCAGAGAAAAATTTTGGATTTGTGCAATCAATACAGGTGAGTGTTGTTTTTCATACCACTGCTGTTCGGCAAATGGGCATTCTAGAATTTGCATGAGTACATGATATAACTTGCATGGTATATTAGATCGGAAATCTGACAACTGTGTATTGACAACAACAATTTGTTTAGATGAACTTCCAATTAGACAGCCTTGTTACAAATCATGGTCACTAGATGGTTGTAGCACATAAACTATTTTATGTGCTACAACCATAACATGTCCATTATTCACCTAGTACATTGTC